GGAGGTGATTGGCTGGTGGGGATGGCTTCCCCCATGCTGTTCTTTTTTTTTTTTTGAGATGGAGTTCCGCTGTTGTTACCCAGACTGAAGTGCAATGGCACAATCTCGGCTCACCGCAACCTCCACCTCCTGGGTTCAAGCAATTCTCTTGCCTCAGCCTCCCGAGTAGCTGGGACTACAGGCACGCACCACCATGCCCAGCTAATTTTTGTATTTTTAGTAGAGACCCCCATGCTGTTCTCGCAATCATGAGTGATTCTCACAAGATCTGATGGTTTTATAAGGCAGTTTTCCCTGCATTCTCTCAAATTCTCTCTCTTACCTGCCACCATGTAAGATGTGGTGCCTGCTTCGCCTCTGCCATGATTGGAAGTTTCCCGAGGCTTTCCCAGTCATGTGGAACTGTGAATCATTTAAACCCCTTTCCTTTGTAAATTGCCTCGTCTCAGGCAGTTCTTTCTAGCGGTGTGAGAACAGATGAATACGCCCGCAGTGTTTTGCTGTGTGTGAACAGGTGACACTGCATGCTTCTCTACACCATTCTCACTTTGCCACACATCTTGCAGCTTCTGCCTTGTCAGAGCTTATATGACAGTCCTAGCTTGTTTATTTACCACAAATAAGCTAACCATTTTATCACTGAGGAGTTTTGATTACATACAATATTGCATTGAAACATTTTATTCCGGTATCGGTGCATATGTGTGACTAAATATATATTTTGTAGATACCAGGAACTGGAATTGTCAGGCTAGCATAGGTACATTTAACTTTTCATTCACACTGACAAACTGTCGACACAGCAGGTTGCCCCATTTACATCCACGCAAACCTGCCCGAGAGTCCTGTTAAGGATGACTTCGATGACTTCGTCCCCACTACAGCAGATGGGGAAGCCTCCATCCCTTTCCTCAGCCACGGGAGTGCTGCCGGCCCTCTCTAAGCCACAGTGGGAAGCAAACCTGTTTCCACTTCGGTGTCAGTTTTGAGAAACAGTGCAATTGTGGCTTTAGGTACATGTCTAAGTTTAAGAGTAGCTTCTAAAGTAGAGGATAGATTCTTTATCTGTAAATACTTCCAGGTTACAAACTGCATTTGCTGGTGTCCTCTTATGTGGTAGTTGACATGTTGGAATCTCTTACATAGAAGTTGAGATTACGGTTATGTTCTAGGCCAGGTGTAGTGACTCACACCTGTAATCCCAACACTTTTGGAGGCTGAGGCGGGCAGATTGCTTAAGGTCAGGAGTTCAAGACCAGCCTGGCCAACATGGAAAAACCCCATCTCTAAGAAAAATACAAAAATTAGCTGGGAGTGATGGTAGGCACCTGTAGTTTCAGCTGCTAGGGAGGCTAAGGCAGGGGAATCACTTGAACCCAGGAGGCAGTGGTTGCTGTGAGCCAAGATTGCCCCAGCCTGGGTGACAAGAGCAAAACTCTATCTCAAAAAATGTTTATATTCTAAATATTGATATTGCATAGGTGCTCTAAGGGAAAACCTGAGATGGGAACGTCCATGTATGGGAGGTAGGCCCAAACCTTTTTAATTGCCAAAATACATTCAAATATTCCAAATAATTGAAGTCATCCCACAAATATGTAATTGACCTAGGCTTAAAGCCTGCAAAGGGCATGTGCGTGCCCAAATGCGAGAAGGGTGATTTTAAAACTGGCGGTACATTGTTTTCCTGGTTTTCTATTTTTTCTTTTTAAGATGTCCCCATTCATTACCATTTCTTTCTTTTCTCAAACTGAAAGTGGACATGTTCTAAACTCATCTCCAACTAGAAGCTGAGTGACTGTCTCACGAGCACACCCTAACACAAAGGCCATGAGCAGTGCAGTGAGCTAACTGGGATACATATAACTTGGTACAAAGGAAACAAGCCCCTTACTCAGCCAGGAAACATCAGTGGAGAGCCTTCTATGTGTGCCATACTGCAGGTGGCTTCTTCATCTGAACCCAGCCCCTGAGCAGGGAGAGCCTGTGGCTGTTAGGTTGAGACGAGCAACAGAAACATGCGAAGGAGCTGGAGATGCACCTGCCAGCCACGATGGGGACAGGTGGCCACGACTGCCTGCCCGCCCATCTGCTGCGATGTGCTGTCCTCTCCAGTCATCATGGATCCCAAATTTGATTGCCGAAGGACACAGAAAACCTTCTTAAAGCAGTTTTCCTGTTCAGACAGTATCGAGGCAAGGGTCCAGGGAAGTATGCAAAACCAGGCCCAGGAGTCCTTACATGCCTGTCGGAAGCTCCTCTAACACAGATTCCATTCACCGAGGAAGGTTTCACCTTCTCCTTACAGTGGTGTCAGAGGTGGACGTTTTGTCAGGCAACTCTGTCTGGTTCTTGCTATTCAGCGTTATATGTCTGAGAAAGGAGCACTATCAACATACAGCTCTTGTCTTTTAATGAATCTCACGCAGAACTTCTAGGGTGGAAAACAAAGAGCATGACCTGTTTCCACTCACAGCGAATTCTGCAGGTGTGATTCCGGTTACCAGACAGCAGAGGCACTGCCATTTCAGCAAATACTTAGCCACACAACAGGACTTCTTGACAAGACATCTTAGAAAAGCAGTGTTTGCAGGAATGAATATGCCTACCTCAGGGTGCTGGTACCTGCAGAAAAAGTCACCAGGAGCTGTTTCTTCCCATCTGTGTCCCACAGGGGTGGTGAGCACCTCCCTGGCAAGAGAGGGTGGAGGAAGACGAGCTTGGTCCGTCCTCCCCTCAGCAGTACCCCACTGTGAAGGGGTTTCTCACAGAGAAGGACATTTGCACAGTAATTCCCAGAACCATTGAGCCAAGACTCAGCTACAAATTCACACTCAATATACAACACGCATAGAAAGAAGGTCTGAGTGGGCCTCACAAGGAGTGAGCCACACTCCTCGTGCACATGGCACACTCGCTGTCTGAGGATTTGTATCAAGTGCCACAGTAGCGGGATTCTTGCTTAAAGCGTTTGGTGCTTAAAACAAAAGTATTTAAACTTTTAGCCCAGCCCTGCTATCATCAGATACAGAACCTGAATTTCAGAGAGTTTTATTCACTCAACAAATGTCCACACCAAGATTGGCTGTGATGGGGCCTTGCTCACCCAGCAGTAATGACAGTTCATACAATCAATAACACTTGATGAAAAGAATAGTTATATTTTTAAATCGTATTATTTCAACATGAATAATGTCGAGTTTATATGCTAGTTGCCTTCGTATAATCTTACTGAGGAAGTAGGTACCCAGTTCAAAAAGTTAAAATAGAGGAGGCCACACTGCAGTGAGAATCCAGTGAGTGCACATTCGTCTTCATCAAACTCTGTGTTATCTGGGAGGGGCTCTGCACAGGTGCTCTCGCGTCTGACTCTGCCTCACAGGAGGAGGGGCTGAATTCTGAGCATTAATGATCAGACTGCAAACCTGAGGAAGAAGAAGGTGGTGTTTGTCAGGTGTGAGTGCTCCTGAATCTACATGATTCGTAGATGATTTCAAGGTGGTATATCTGATACAAAAATGTTTCGGGGGGCATTTGCCTGACGAAGAAAATGTGAGAATCCCCCCACATTTATACTACGTGGATGTTGAGAAAAAGTCATAGAACACACAATTGTCATCAGAGATTTTCCAGCGCCGATGGCTGTACACCTCTCTAAATAAAACCCCAAATTATAACGTATACTAAAAGCTAAGTACATTTTTACGTGTTACAAAACAGCTCCGAACTCATGACTGCCGACTTTGTGGCAAAACACGCACACTAACTCTCATTCAAGTTTTGAACCTTGATTTTTCAGGTTCAAAATCAATTTTAGAACCTTTCTAGTTCCATGTATCTATTTTGGAATTACTTTGTCCTCTATGCGTTTGTTTTAGTAAATTCTTATTAGGGGAAATAATAATATTGTTGCCGTTGCGTTTTACCGCTGCCTTTGCGTTTCTGAGGAAACCTTGTGTTATCGCGTTTCAAGTCCTCCTTGCTGAGACTCTGGCTATCGTCTTTATCACAGGCAGGATGCACAGTATCTGTGAGAGGATTTATGGTAATGCCGCTGCATCCCGCTGATCATAAACAGCACGGGGAGTCCCTGAGGGTCTCTTCGTTCTTCCCACACACTTCTCGGAGGCACATTAGCACTCGTCTGTATTGCCATAGACACACTTTATGAGCCTCTCGGAATTTGGAGGTTTGCACCAGGACAATGGCTTCCCTGACTCAGGCATCACCCTCTCGCTTTCTGATTCTCTAGCTTATTGTTTTGTTAATAAAACAAATTCTGCCTTTGATAGTAGACTTCGAGATAATATAGGTATTTCCTCTTCAAATGAGAAGAGTCGATGGCTTCTAATACTGAGATAAAACTGCAGAAAAACTTGATGGTTAATAATTTCTACATTTGCATTAACGAAGGTAATTTCTTCTGTTATAGTAAGAAAAAATTGAGCTGACATTTGGAAAGGGCCTTGTCATTAGGAAACTGTATTTTCATATGAATGAAATTCCATTATTTCCAAAAATCGTTCTCCCTTATTAAATTGTTTTCCAATGACATCCAAGTGTTGAAGAAGGCAGTGGTCTAAGAAATGGGCCGGTAACGGGTCATCCTAAGGATTAAGTGCATTTGGCTTTACCTTCAAACCTAGCCATGTATTTGAAATTGTTCAATATCTTAGATTTCAAAGTAAATTAACTAAATGTTTAAAAAGTACTTCTCCTTAGCCATCATTAGAGTTTATAACACGGTTTCCGAGTAGAATTATTTACACATCTTCTCAAGGTGCAGTGACCTATCTTGAAATGTGGCTGTTGTGAGTCTCGCAGCACGGGGCACGTACCTTCCTCACGGTGTTCTGCGTTGTCGCTCTCTCCTTTAGAAAATGAACTCAGAGGAGAATTGGTGAATTCCTATCCAGTGGGCATCTTGAAACCCTGGTCGACGGCGGAAGAGCATCAGGCCCCGAGATCACCCACCCAGCGCAGACGGAGTGCAGGTACCTCTGCCCGGCCCGGGGCTCCAGGACTGCTGCAGGCAGCCCCTCCTCTGGCGCTTGTCCCATTTGCTGCTTTGAGTAAATACTGTCATCTTAGCTGCCTGGCGCTTCACAGCTTCCGGGAGGCAGTTAAAGTTGCAGTGCGCATCCTCTCCAAAGAGACAATTGGTGCCAAAAAGAGCCCTTTGCAGTTAAATTAGATGAGGCATAGCTCATTCTCACTGCTGAAGTTATATAGGGCAGGGATGATGTGAGGATCCTCGTGGGTGCTGAGAGGATGCCTCGGGGTGGCCAGTGGGAGGGAATGATGCCCATGACCCTCACATGGAAATGGTTCGTGTGGAATCATTGCATGCAGCGGCTACACTTGCAGCGGAAGGAACTGGTTGGTAAAACGTGGGATCGGATTTGGAGGGCTGGGGTTGGATGCGGTTGGCACACACCCAGTGGCTGCTACCTCACAGCACATATTTTTAGGGCTGGAGGTGGGCAAGACTGAAACACGGACCAAATCTCAGGCCCTGCAAAGTCTCTGGTTCTGAATGAGTGAATGGAACGGAAACTCTGGTATTCTCTTCTCAATACTCACATTTAGAAGTACTTTTATGTATGTTACTCAGATAGAGAAAAGGAGAAAATTCTGGTAAAAATGGTAATTTCTCAGCATGCTCTATAAGGAAAGCTGTGGCGCGTTTTAAGGTTCACTGTGCAGTTGTGATTTATTTGTCTGCCGACTGCCCCATTTGCCTGTCTGATAATGGAACTACTTACCACTACACGGAAATTAGAGGCTGGGATTGTCTTCCATATGCTGCAAGCTTGTGGAAGAGCTTTATGAACTGTGGTAATAGGTCACAGTTGTTCTAATTATTTTCTCGTCTCTACCCTATTCATTTCCCCTGAAGAAACTCACTGCACTCATTGGTTTGGTTTGGGGAAGGCATTATGTTTAATCGTACATTTCCCTGAGGTTAAAAAAAACAACAAAAAACAAAAGAATCTATTCACACTGAGTGTTCGTGAATTCTTGGCTTCAGAAGCAGTTAAAGTTTCTGAACTGTAGGTGTTTTGTACATCTAGGCTGCCTTATTTTATCTCATCTCATTGAATTTTAGTAGTAAGTTAAGGACGTTGAATGAAATATTTTGTAAGGGTGTAATGTCTACATGTGGCTTTACTGAATTGACATTCTGGCATTGAGTTAGATGCTCACATTTAAATGAGGATATTCAATGTGGTTTGATAGAAAGCATTCAAATACAAATATCACCAGGAACTAAATGAAGCAACAAGGAAAAAGAGTGCACTTTTTGGGTTTTGAAAGAAACACCCATGTTTATACTTGGCTTTCAGTCAGGTTCTTGGCTGAGACATTCCCTTTGATTTTGAGAGGTGTCCATTTTCGGAACGGGAGAGCAAATTGGACTTAGCAGGGAAAAAAGAGATCTCAAGGTTCTAGCAGCCAAAATCCTGTCCGGCTTTGCCCTGGAGTCTGTCATCCTTAGGGGAGTGTCTGCCGGGATCCCTCCAGCCAGGCCCTGCGTAAGCAGACCTTTCTGGTGTAAGACGAGCCTGTCACCCAAAGATCTGCGGGGCCTGCAGATCCAGTTCGATGATAATAAGAGCAGAATGCACAAGCTCATTTCACGTGGGTCTTTCCATTCAGTCCTCACTCTCTTCATTCTGTCCTCATCAGTCCTCACCAATCATGTCCACTTTCAGGGCATGTGGTAACAGTACATAGAGGCCACGCTGACAGGCACACACTGTGGAGGATGCGGGCATAGAGTCTCTTATTTCCGGAATTTTTTATCCATGTTCTCATTTTTTAAAGATTAGTATTTGACTCTCAGGGGATGGTCAATATCCAGTTTCTGTATGTATGCCATAAATACTTTAGTAAATGGGTGACAGATGAAATATGTATAAAACAGTACATTGAAATACATAGATTTAGCATTATAAAATGGGGATACGTTGCTATATTAATGAGACTATGTCTTCACATAATAAGCTATAAAATGACAATTTGTACATCATTGTGTTGCGTAGACCTGGTGGGCCAACACTTTTTGTAGAACCAGATAATATTTTAGACTTCGTGGAAGGAGTGGTCTCTGTGCACTGCTCACCACTGCCATGCTGTCTGAAATGAGCCACAGGCAACAGTGAGCAATTGGCGTGGCCGTCTGCCAATAAAAGTTTATTTGCAGTATTAGCAGAGAACAGACTTGGCCAGTGGGCTTGAGTTCATCAACCCATGGTGAAGGCCTAAGCTCTCAGTTCTGAAATAGCCACAGTCACTTCTGGAAGAGATGGCCGCTTACTCCTCCCTGGGTGAGCAGACCCTTGCAAACTAGCACGGCAGTCTGAAGTTACCGTCCACAGACCTGCTGCTCGCAGGCAAGCCCTTTGCTGATGCCTGGGCGAGGTACCCAGCGTGAGCCAGCAGAAGCTTCCACAGAGTCTGAAAGAAGGGTGAAGACAGCAAGGTTGTCACCTCTGTGGAGATTGGGGCAGAATTCAAGAGACTCCTAAGATTTCAAGAAGAGAAAATGTTTCCAGTGCGTTTGTGGCTGTATCACCCTGTCTGACTAGAAATATCCTGAAAACTGTGTGGGATGTGACACCACACTAAATCCACTCGGAAGGGGTATTTCCACGCCTGGATACAGGGGGAGTTCTGTCTGTAAAACCGCACAGATGCCGAAAGAAACGTCTTCCTGGAAGGGTGAGTGAGGCCAGTCAGCAGTCTGTGGGGCAGAGCCGAACGTGGCCACTTGACAGGGCCAGACCACACAACCGAGTGAGGTGGGATTCCATTCAGCCTGTTTTCCCCCATACCCTCTGCAAATACAAGACAAAAACATAAACACGTGAATTTTAAAAAAACAGAACGTGGAGAATAAAACACCAACCACAAAAGAGAGCAATTTCCAGTTGCAGGGGACAGGACACCACCAGCTTGATAAAAAGGTGAATGTTGGAAAAGATCTTAATAATGCCATCAATCTTTTTAAAGCCTCCTTACAAACATAAGGAGCCTCAGACTTTGAAAAATCATATTTAGGATGTGAATCTGTATCATACGTCATTTAGCCGAAACAGAGTATTAGCTGACATTTTCCACAGAGAGAACTTGATAGAATCAGTGTGTCTTTAAGATGGTAATCAGGCTGGGCGCAGTGGCTCACGCCTGTAATCCCAGCACTTTGGGAGGCCGAGGCGGGTGGATCACGAGGTCAAGAGATCGAGACCATCCTGGTCAACATGGTGAAACCCCGTCTCTACTAAAAATACAAAAAATTAGCTGAGCATGGTGGTGCGTGCCTATAGTCCCAGCTACTCAGGAGGCTGAGGCGGGAGAATTGCCTGAACCCAGGAGGCAGAAGTTGAGGTGAGCCGAGATGGCGCCATTGCACTCCAGCCTGGGTAACAAGAGCAAAACTCTGTCTCAAAAAAAAAACAAAAAAACAAAAAAGCAAACAAAAAAAGACGGTAATCTACATGGTAATACATTATTACAGAATAAGTCAAAAGCGGTGATGGAGAGAGAAGCGGCAGAAACACAGGCTGCAGGGTGCGCTCCTACCGCACAGCCCAACCAGCTCCAAGAGGAAAGGTCTGCTACGCTCAGGAACCGTTCAGGGTCCAGCAGAAATTTCCTAAAAGTTATAGGATATCAGCCTAGAGAACAAACCCTAATTCTTCCCGAGCATCTGCAGAGAAGTCACCCAGCTCCTTGAGCCCGAGCCTGTCTCACCGTCAGTAAAATGGCCATAAGAATTTCTTCTTCACAGAACTGTTGCAGGATTCCATGTCGTGTCTGAAACACTGGATTCCGTCCTTGAGACACAGAAGATGTTTTAGAATTTCCCAGAGCTGTGTGGCTTTTGAAATGAGATGTGGACAGAAGTACCCGGTTCCCCTCCAGATGGCAGCTGCCCAAGTGAAGACCTCACCAACTGTGTCACCTTCTCCAGGGCCTTGGGGCTGAGCATTAGAAAGGTTCGGGGTGGGTCTGGCCTCCATTATTTCTTGGAAGTAAGAAGTCCTGGAGAAAGGAGAGTTGCTCTCAGGTAGCAGAGGCACAACCAAGCTGGAACACTGATTCCGGCTTTGGAGTGAGACATGCTCAGGGCTGACCACGCTCCACGCCAGCGTCTTTTATCCAAAGCCCCCCAGGTGGTCGGAAGTGGCTGGAGAACCTGGGGCCCTGAGTGTGGCTTGTTTGTGCTCCTGGCTCTCAGCATGTCGCTTGCTATGTCTACTGTGTGGACACCTCAAAATCATCAGTCTCAGCATGGATGAGTCCATTATCTTCTCGGGTAAAGCCTTGTTTTTATTGGCTCATCATTTAGAACCTGCAGTAAGTGTTATGAATTGCAAAAGTAGATCTAGAACTTTCCGCCTGCACGCCAACACACCTAATGAGCGCTTTTAACTGAAGGTCAAAAGTAGTAGGAGGCTATGACTAGGCGCTTGACTTCCTAGCGTGCTCACGTACTGCTCTTTTCAATGAAATACAGTGCACACCTTCATCACGCGACCTTCCATCGTTTCACTGCACACCCCTCTGACCTGGAGCCTCTGGGATGCCCATGCTCCCTCTTCCTGTGGGGCCCACACTGTTCTGCAAAGTTGCTCATAGGTCCACATGCGCCTCACGAGTCTACACACGGCAATCCCACTCACGTGATCACCTGCTTATCTGAGTTCCTCATTCGCTGTTGTTTGTGGGTGCAAGTGAAGGGATGGAACTTAGCCCATATCTAAACGAAGTAAATGCCGACTTTTTAAGATAAAATGCATTGTTAAGTGAATTATTTCAAATGTCCCATCCATACATCAGAATATATTCTTTTGTGCATTTACATAACATGTAATGTTTTACAATTTCCCAGACTATGGGAACTATGACATATGATGTCAACTATGACATGAGATGTTATATAAAAACGGAATCAGAGAATTCTGCAGGAAAGCTGTGCTTGCAGAGCCATTTAGTAAGGGTGGGGGCACAACGACAACCACAACAGAACACCAAGAGAAGGAGCCGCAGAGCCATGAGGACGGCGCTACCTGAAGGGGAGAAGCTGGGTGTTCCTAGAGAAGGAATGGGGGGCTAGAGAGTCTCCTCCCTGGCTGGCTCCAAGGACACCTTCTGACTTAGTCAAGGACAGTTCAGATGTGGGACCAGCATCAGGAAAGGCCAGAGGTTTGGGAGCAGGACACCGGAGGGAAGGCAGGGTGGGCATGGTGGGTTTAGGTTAAGCTCTGTAGCTGGTGAGAGTCCATGGGTGAGTTTAGGCAGAGGAGACAGGGTCTGATTTTCCAGAATGGAGTGTGGATTGGAGGAGCTAATGCCAGTGCCTGGGGGCAGGGGGGCTGTGGACAGAGTCCAGGAGAAGTTGTTGAGGGTCTCCAGGAGGACAGGGTATTTGGTTTGAAGATGAAGGTATGTGTGATGGGCTTACAGTCAGCAACGCTGTGCAGATCAAGGTGGGATTCGGACATCGTCATGCCCAGCAGGGAGGAAGAGAGCGAAGGCTTCACAGTGCAGCTTGGAAAACATCAACACATTTTACACTGAACCCCTCAAATCCTGGGGTTTTCATCTGTAAAATAGCGGGGATGTTTCTCACGTCATAGGGTTGTTGAGGATTCCATAAAGCAGTGGTTGAAAAGCCTGCAGTGCAGAGGCTGGCAGGTAAGTGCCGGCCCTTTAAACCCTGGTTGCCCTCATCATTATTCAGAAAGAACCCAAGGCACAGTTGCTTCACCATAAAAGAGGAGGCAGATGCGATCTGATTTACACCCGTGTTATGCTTTATGTATTCAAATCAAAGTGCCTTCACTTCCTATGCGGCTATGTGGGAAATGAAGAGGCACTCTGAACCCATGCAGAAGAGAAGCAAAACTGTGACTTCACACACACACACACACACACACACACACACACACACACACACTTGCTTGTATTTGCATAAAAAAACAAGACGGACAGACAAAGTAACTAAAAGAGATGTTTGTATGTGGGGTTAATATAGGAAAAGCAGGTTGAGAGGGAAGTGTTTTCATTGTTCTTGTTCATTCTTTTATTCATTTGTTTCTTTACTTTTGAATAATGTAAATGTATCTCATATTCAAAAAATAAAGTTTAAAAGAAAAGGGAAGAGTGCTTTCAAATAAGTAATCTGATGTATCCTCACCGGCCCTTTGTTTTAGGTAGAAAGGGATTATTCACGCACTTTTACAAATGGGGAGGCTGAGGATCCATAGCTTACTTAACGTGATCAAGGTGACAGGCAGTGATTGGCAGCTCTGGATTTGAATTCTGACTGTGAAACCCGTGCACTGCCACCCTTTCCCCTCATAATACACAGTCACGCTGGAGGATTCTTCCTCGATGTTTACTGCTAACGTAGAGACAGGTTACTCAGTCTAAATGTTTGGAATCAGAGAAGAGTGACAACAGATAAACAAAATGAAACAAAATGGCCGATGGTGGGGGGCGCTGGGAGGCAGGGTGCAGGAGGGTGTGCAAAGAGACTTCCTGTTCAACGAGGACTCACGGAGTGACCATCAGTTTCTAACTGTGGGAGGGAGAAAGGGACTGGAGAGAAGGAAGGAGGGAAGGAGGAAAAGAGGGAGGCAGGCTACATGATTAAGAAAGGAAATAAGGAGATGGGGAAGGAAATACATAGAAGAAGAGGGAGAAGTTCTCCTCTCAGATTCTCTGGTTGACGGCGTATGCCTGATAAACACTAGTACCTTTTAATAGCTTTACTTTTCCCCATAGCTCACATAGTATTTCATGTATGCTCTCCCTTCTAAACTTACCTAATTTAAAACTTGCTTTACAAAGTATAAAATAGAAGATTTTATTATGATTTACTTATTCAATAATGAAGGTCAGAATCTCAAAATTATTTTTAGAAGGTATTTTTGAATACAACTTCCAAGAAGTCGCTATGAGGTGACAAAGTGAGAAAAGCGGTGATTGCGGAAGAAATCCTTTAGAATAATAAAGGAAAACATGATTTCATGTCTTAGTTATGTTTATACATTGAAACAGCTATAAAGAACATATGGACAATTGGGGAAATGTGAATATTCCCAACATTTTATGTTTTATGATATGACTTACCTAATATTAACTTTTCTGTTGAAGTTACACATGGATTATACGGGAGAAGGTTTTTTTCTTAGAAGGTAAACGTTGACATATTTAGGTGTGAGCTTGCCACAATGCCTGTGAGGTTCAGGAAAATGTGTGTGTGGCGTGTGGATGTCTGTGTGCACCTGTGTGTGTGTGTGTGGCATGTGGATGTCTGTGTGCACCTGTGTGTGTTTGTGAGTGTGTGTAGTGTGTGGATGTCTGTGTGCACCTGTGTGTGTGTCTGTGTGTGTGGGGGGTGTGTGGATGTCTGTGTGCACCTGTGTGTGTGTGTGTCTGTGTGAGTATGTGTGGCGTGTGGATGTCTGTGTGCACCTATGTGTGTGTGTCTGTGTGACTGTGTGGCATGTGGATGTCTGTGTGCACCTGTGTGTGTGTCTGTGTGAGTATGTGAGGCATGTGGATGTGTGCACCTGTGTGTGTCTGTGTGTGTGTGTGGCGTGTGGATGTCTGTGTGCACCTGTGTGTGTGTGTATGTGTGGCGTGTGGATGTCTGTCTGCACCTGTGTGTGTGTGTGGCATGTGGATGTCTGTGTGCACCTGTGTGTGTGTCCGTGTATGTGTGGCATGTCGATGTCTGTGTGCACCTGTGTGTGTGTGTCTGTGTGGCGTGTGGATGTCTGTGTGCACCTGTGTGTGTCTGTGTGTCTGTGTGTGGGGGGGTGTGTGGATGTCTGTGTGCACCTGTGTGTGTATGTGTATGGTGTGTGGATGTCTGTATGCACCTGTGTGTGTGTGTGTGTGTGTGGCGTGTGGATGTCTGTGTGCACCTGTGTGTGTGTGTCTGTGGGGGGTGTGGATGTCTGTGTGCACCTGTGTGTGTGTATGAGTGTGTGTGTGTGCGTGTGTGTGTGTGGTGTGTGGATGTCCATGTGTGTGTGTGGCTCGTGTGAATGTCTCTTTGTGTGTGTCTATGGTGTGTGGATATGTGCATCTGTATGTGTGTGTATGTGCATGTGTGAGTGGTGTGTGGATGTCTGTGTGCAACTGTGTGTGCATATGTGGCATGTGGACATGTGTGTGTGTGCACGCGCGGCACGTGCGGATGTCTCTTTGTGTGTGTGTATGGCATGTGGATGTGTGCACCTGTATATGTGTGTGTGTATGTGCTTGTGTGTGTGATGTATGGATGTCTGTGCCTGTGTGTGTGTGTGTGTGTGTGTGTATGTGTTGCGAGTGGATGTCTCTGTGTGTGTGTGTGTGTGTGGCATGTGGATGTCTGTGTCCACCTGTGTGTGACTCTGTGTGTGTGTGTGTGTGTGTGTGTGTATGTAATTGGTTTGTGTACCCCACCTCTCCTTGGTGTCTAATATCAACAAAATTACAAGGTAACCTTACTGCATCCATTGTCTTAGAGACATATTTTAAACTGTCAGAGGTAGATCTTACAACTCGAAATCTCCTTTCCAAATTAAGGAAAGACAAACCGCCTTTGGCTGGGGAATCCTGTGAGCTCCACTTCTGGTGCCCCAGGAGAGCCCACACAGGTCCCCCTTCCAGCAGAGGCTCATCCGGAAAAGCAGCTGGTCAGCCTCGACTGCCCCTTATTTCCAGGCTGGGAGGAAAGAGTCACAGCAAATGGAGAGTTTTCTAAGCCAGAGTGTTTGTTGGTGAAGCTGCAGGTGAACGTTGAGTGCCGTTCTTTCCCCCATCACGGTGCATTTACGCGTTTTGTGTCCTCCTCGTGAAAATAAAGTGTCTAACAGGATGCTCAGCTGGAAACTTGTAGGCAAGGAATGCACCTGTAAAGGCAAGGGATACGGGGAGGCTCTGTCATTGAGCGACAGTGTGCGTGTATGCGCTTCTGAAAACCATGCTGCTGATGGCACGTGTCCTTCTTTCACATGCCCTGAAAGCACTTTGCAGAACGTCAAAAGTTTATGCAGATGGTATTTCTTCTAATTCATTCTTACACAGAAAATAAAAAGGATAGTTGGTCAACTGGCCATCTGGGGTGGCTACTCTGGGTGAGGTGTTGTGCATGGTCTTGAAAAGTAACCAAACAACAGGAGCCCGTGTTGAAACCCACCTCGGATACTGGAAGTCAGAGGTTTGGGAAACTTGGTCAGCTTGGACCCACCCTGATTGAGCAGCAAAAAGGTGTCTCGATGCCCACATATGTTGCTGAGAGTCGTGCAAGCCGCCCTCATCCAAAGAGGATGCATAACATGCCGCGTTAGGTACCGACGGAATGAAATTCAAACGGCAGCAGGAAGGGAAAAGTTCCCGGAGAATCTTTAAAAGACCTAAAGGAGTTAAACCACAGGAAGGAAGAAATGAAGAAAGGGATAGAGGGGGAGAGTGCAAAAGACACATCATATGGGCATAACTATAAGAAAAAAACAAGATGGAAGACGAAATCCAAATGCCTGTTCACCTACATGACCTGGGGCACTCCAGGAGCTTCACTATCAAAAAGAGCTAAATTACATACACTATTTTTGTTCAATATCCATGAGAAATTAAATTTATATAAATTATTTGTATTCTTTTAAGTTATAAAAATATCTGGATTGCGCTACAGGATGATCTTGAGATCATTTTTTGCTACATGAAACATGCATCAGTAAGAATGATGAAGTAAAAAAGTTATTTCTCTCAATGAAAAAGAGAAGCAAGAACTTTGCTGTTTTCTGAGAGACATAAGATGTATACCCGGTCCCGTTTCGCCTTTGCCATGGACCAGTGACAGTTTCCCAGACATGCTGAGGCAAAGACTCCTCTCAGAACTTGCCACACCGCAGGAGGCCAAAGTCCTTTTGTTGGTGTTTTGCTTCTTATTTAATTGCAACTAGTGTCAGGCGACATAAATTCTATTTCATTGACAAATCTTCAGAATTTATCAATGAAATAGAATTTATGTCGCCTGTCACTAGTTAGGCGACATAAATGAATAAATTCTATTTCATTGATAAATCTCCAGAATGCCTTGTCACAGATTTGCAACTGACGTTTGCTCTTACAGAAAATACGAGTAAGTACGAGTGAGGCAGGAAGGATAAGAGTTGGCATCTTAGCTAACGGGGTGGCAATGAAGGCCCCATCTCAGGTCTCGAATGGAGATCAGAGCTCCACGCAGAGAGAAAAGCAAGGTTGGGGTTCTGATGGACGTGGTCCCAGGACCATTGTTTGAACAACACTCATTTAGGGTCGGGTGGTCCTGCTGGTAGCTTCAGAAGCAGGTACGCTTGGTGGGGTTTATGCTGAAGATGGACCCGCTTAGCCAAGTTCTATTTTCTGTGGTCTACCTGGAGCTCTGCTCTCCATTCGAGACCTAACGGGGTGGTCATGAAGACCCCCATTACTACTTTTATAAGTGCTCACAGTGAATTGATTTGCTACCTTTCCAACGTCATGGGGTTACAAATCAAAGGGCCACGGGGTGGCAAATCAAGTTACTGCGAGCACTGATGAAAGTGAAAGTGTGAACAGCCACCGGAGAGCAAAAGAACACTTGCGACCCCCGTAAACGTGGCCAGGATCTGAACTAGTCGGAATAGACTAGGCTGTTTAAAATGTGATTTCAGAAATGAACTCAGAAAGCAGGGCCCTGATGAGGTCATTGTTTGCTCATGTCACAACTTAACGCCAGCTGGGCAGACCCTTCAGTGTGTGGCTCTGCCCTGTGGAATCAGAGCCTTCCAGAAATTAGTGGGGCCATGAAACCCCTGCAGGATGCTTCAGGCCAGGCCACAGTGTTCCCTTAGTCAGAGTCAGATCCGGACCCCGATCCACTGCCCAGGAAACTGGGAGGTACAGGCGTCCTATGTGTCCAGGAAGAGGGGCGATATGGACGTGAGCAGAGCCTCAGCCCCACCGCCCTCCCAGGGGTGGAGGGCTCAGCTGCTGTGGACCGCGGGCACCACCTGCATTCCCACCCCAGCTCTTTCTCTGTGAACCACGGGCACCATCTGCATTCCCACCCAACCTACTTTCCGTGTTCTAACTTGGTTCTGTGGCTAATATCATCTGGTGCCCCATGTGGGTCTGCCTTCAGGGAGGACTCTGGTGAGCTTGCCGGTCCGAGCTGAGCTTGGGGGGGTCCAAATTCATTTGCATTTCCTGCAGAGATGAGCGGACTGACTTCTTGCCAGAAACACTGGTCTGTGAAATTGGAGCCTGGCTGAGCAAGTCTATCCCACCAAGTGCACCTGCTTCTGAAACTACTGGGAGGATCAGCTGGCTCCAAGCCAGTGTTTGAAGAACATTTCTGGGACCACTTCCGTTAGAACCCCCAAACTCGCTTTTTGTTCTTCATGGAACTCTGGTCTCCATTCAAGACATAAGGTAGCAGAATTTCTAGTGTAGGGCCGAGATATATGGGAGGGATGCCAGGGGTGGGGGATTGGGGAGGGATAACATAAGGAGAATTACCTAATGTAGATGATGGGGGGATGGGTGCAGCAAACCACCATGGCACGCGTACACCTGTGTAACGAACCTGCACATTCTGCACATGTACCCCAGACATTAAAGTATAATTTTTTTAAAAAAAGAAACAGAAAAAAATAGTACAGAAAAAATGTGAATACATACCCCACAAATGTATATGTACATTAAAGCAGAGCTCCTACCCTAAGTGACAGTGTGTTCACTGAGCTGATATGCTCACCTCTGAGGCTCCTGGGAGCTGTCATCCACAGCACTGTCCTGCTTTGTTGCCACATGCCCAGGGAGCCAGGTTCTTTGTCTTTATTGTTTCATTTCTTTTTTTTTTTTTTTTTTTTTTTGAGACGGAGTTTCGCTCGTTACCCAGGCTGGAGTGCAATGGCGCGATCTCGGCTCACTGCAACCTCCGCCTCCTGGGTTCAGGCAATTCTCCTGCCTCAGCCTCCTGAGTAGCTGGGATTACAGGCACGCACCGCCATGCCCAGCTAATTTTTTGTATTTTTAGTAGAGACGGGGTTTCACCATGTTGACCAGGATGGTCTCGACCTCTCGACCTCGTGATCCACCCGCCTTGGCCTCCCAAAGTGCTGGGATTACAGGCGTGAGCCACCGCGCCCGGCCCTGTTTCATTTAATTTTATCAACTGAGCCCTGGCAAATATAATGGCACATGCTTCTCGTTTCAAGTTATTGTTATTTTTTACTTCTTACCATTTTACAACAAAAGGATTCAAATAGGCACAAGTGGGGCTGAGCCCCCAGGTACATCCTCAAGCTCCCACAGTGGCCATGCTTATTTCATTGACACCCAACCCTTCTTCCACATGCAGGCGTGGGTCACTCTGAAGCAAATCCAAGTGAGTATGTAATTTCAGCTAGAAGTAATTTAGCATAAATTCCTAAAAATAATAGTTCTTTTTGTAAAAACATAATCACCCATCAAACCTTACAAAAAGGTCTTAATGTTATCAAATATCCAAGCAGGGTTCACACTTCCAGTGCGGTCTCACACATGTATTAATACGGTTTGGTTGGCTTTTGTTTGTTTGCTTTTTGAGACAGAATCTTTCTCTGTTACCAGGCTGGAGTGCAGTGGCACGATCTTGCCTCACTGCAACCTCTGCCTCCCAGGTTCAAGCTATTCTCATACCTCAGCCTCCCAAGTAGCTGGGACTACAGGCATGTGCCACCATACCTGGCTAATTTTTATATATTTTTTTTAAGTAGAGACAGAATTTCGCCATGTTGGCCAGGAGGGTCTCAAATTCCTGACCTCAAATGATCCACCTGCCTTGGCTTCCCAAAGTGCTGGGATTACACACGTGAGCCACCACTCCTGGCCCAGTTTGTTTGTTTCTGAATTGGAATCTAAATAAGATCCACCATGGCATCTCACCGATGTGTGTGTTGAATCCCCTTTTTCAGGTACAAACCTGAAAGTTTTCCCTCCTTTTCCTCCCTGCCTTACCTCTTGTGAATAAGCTGAGCAGACAGCCCCCCAGTCCGTGTTTTCCTGAGGTCACTTCTTTGGTGCCATTTAACAGGTTCTTTGGGCCTCTGAGTCTCCCGCGTGCTGGCACTAGTGCAGACGCCTAAGCCACAGCTCTGATCTTGTGGCATCCTCCAGAGGAGGTGACGTGCGGCGTCTGGTCGCCTCCCATTCTGAGGCCTGACCTCTGGCAGGTGGGGACCCATGATGCTGAAGTCGTCAGCCTGACCAACCTATTAGGAAGTCTCCCCTCAACCTTCTCACCTCATGGCTTTAGAGCCAATATGCCCAAGGCCTGAATCCACCATTTCTCCAGGGTTACAAGGGATAGCCTGTTATTCTTTGTTTATTACTGGGAGGACTTCTCTAC